GTGGTGTGGACACCCACCCCGGGGTGCTGGGTTCTCGTTATAACTGGTGGTGTGGACACCCACCCCGGGGTGCTGGGTTCTCGTTATAACTAGTGGTGTGGACACCCACCCCGGGGTGCTGGGTTCTCGTTATAACTGTTGGAGTGGACAACCACCCAGGGGGCTGGGTTCTCGTTATAACTGGTGGTGTGGACACCCACCCGGGGTGCTGGGTGCTTTTCCCTTTTCCACAGTCTCCATAGTTCAGGACTACCTTTGACTCCCAGCCCTCCCAACAGGTCAGTCGCAGGATTTCCCAGCACTGTGAGAGTGGGTACATCTGGTGACTGGCAGTAGCTTAGTAAGAGTTCTTGCCTAGCTCTCTGCAGCTCAGCTGAAAGGGGTCCTGTGTGAGCAGTGCCAGTCTCTCAGACATACAGACAGTGGTCTCTCACAAAGGTGGCCTCGTATCCCCTCCCGAGAGCTTGAGTCATTTTTAATCCTAACAACAACACAGCCCATGCTCCTTGACGGCTACATTGCCACCCAGGACTGCAGGGTGTTGTAAGGAGCAGCGGTGTGCTGGGCTCTGCCCAGAGCTAATCCTAAGCTACTTCCGAGAACTGAATCTAAGCACCATGGCAGAGTGTCTAGAATGCTAACACTCTTTTCTAACCGCCCTGGTCAGTCAGACGGGGACTAAGGACAGTCAGCCTCACCCCACCCAGTCGCTCTGTGTCCTTGAGGTAGGCACAGCGCCTGCTGACCAGGCCGACCCTTCTGTTAGGGGAGAGATCCGGCCTCAGCAGGGCAGTGTGCTGTGTAAGCCGAGGCTGTGTGGGGAGCAGTCCTTGAGTGCAGTCTGAGGACCACTGCTTGGTGGTAGCTTCTGCCTGTCCCTCTTGCTACAGGGGCTGGTTTTTCACAGATGGCCACCGTAAAGGTTGGTACTTGTCCGTACTTAAGGGACACTCTGGGGCCAGTTTTACCGCAGCGGAGCAGGCAGAGCTAACTGCCCGTGGTGTGTGACAGTGGCCTGTGGTGTGGCCGTGATGGCGAAGGCCAGAGCACTTCCTTTTTAAGAACACTCTATGTGCTTTTCAGATGTAACTCAGAACTCCCCTCACCACAAAATCATCTGTTTAACTCTGTCCTTAGATCATTCTGGAGCCTTGAGGATCTAGCACGTGGGTGTTTTCAGTTCTGCATTATTCTGTTACTTCAAAATTCCTACAATGTGTGTGTGTGTGTGTGTGTGTGTGTGTGTGTGTGTGTACACGTGTGCATGTGTGGGGGGGTGGGTGTGTACACATGTGTGCATGTGTGTGTGTGTACACGTGTGTGTGTACACACGTGTGTGTGTGTGTGTGTGTGTGTGTGTGTGTGTGTGTGTGTGTGTGTGTGTGTACACGTGTGCATGTACCTCATCTACCCAGAACTCCCTCCCCTCAATCCTAGAATCCCCAGCCAGCCCCATTTCAGTTCAGACCAAAGTTTCCACCTCCCCTAGGGATCGGCAGGGCCTCAGTCTCCCACACTGGGGTGGAGGTCACTGTATAGGGCATCCCCTTCTTCAGACCCTCCCAAGACTCCCGACACCTTAGCCCGGAGTCCAGGGACCTTTGTGTCTCAGGGCCAGACACTCTGCTCGTGTTAGCACTCCCTTCTAGACCCACCAACGTGGCGTGACTTGGGACTCACACCCGCTGTCCCTTTGAGGACGTGCTGCCCGCTCCCTCTGACCATGCTGCCACGCTGCCCCTGCAGCATCTCCCCCTCTCACCCCTTGATTGTGAGTGTTCCCTGTTGTCCCCGCTGCTCCTTGTCTGTCCTTCCATGAGGGTGTACTTCCTGTGAGAACAGGAACTGCTACACCCCCAGGCCCCGGCCCACACGGGCCTCCTGGCACCAGGCAGCGGACACTGGAGTAAACAAATGTGCTCTGTGATAAGATTCAGCGAGATGATAGACCTCGCGTATCTGCCCCTGTGTGCATCTGGGGCATAGAGATTACGTCACTGACACGTTCCCCGGCCACGTGAGTTCGGAACACCTACCAGCACTCTGCTGGGGTAGAGCCACAGCCCCTGAGCACAGGGGATGCATGTGGATGCCTCGCTCCTCCCTCCTCGTCCAGCCCTCTCCCTCAGCTTTCCTAGGACCCTGGCTTGCCCCTGCTCTCCCCACCCCACCTGCAGTAGGGATTATCACACCACAGCCTCTCCTGGCGGGGTCTCCGTGGCTGGGGAAAAGGCCACAGGCTTTCTGTAGACCCAGCTGCTCCTCAGGCTCAGGAAGAAGATGGCCTCTGCCCCGAGTGGATTAGTAGGTCAGGAATAAAATTCGAGTTAGAAACCAAGTCCTGATACTACGGTACAATGTTAAGTGCTACCTCAGGCCGCTACCCTGCAGGCTCAGAGGCCATGAAGAGTGCTCCAGACACTAGACACTGTACAGAGCCGGCCCTGAGGAAGGGCCTCGGCCTCTCTCTGTCCCCAGGAGGAGGAGGCTAGACTGCAGAGCCAGCTGCTCCCTAGCCAACCATGCCTCTCCCTTGAGCTCAGGGCTCGGGACTTTTGGGTTTTTGTTATTAAAAATCACTTTCTTGCAAAGAATTTATCATACAGCCAGATTAGCCCAGCCACTCAGATGAGCACTTGCCCAGACCAAAGTCTGTATATCTCCCTGAACTTCATACAGTCAGAAGGCTGAGAATTTTTGAGGAAAGATTCTCACCTCCAAAATGACCCACTCCCCAAGACAGGATGTCTGAAGAAGAGCCAGGCCTTGAAACTGAGCAGGAGGGGATACTTGCCTTGTCTGCCCTGCAGCCTTTTACCCCCACCTCCTTGAGGTCATATTGTTTTTTGTGGCCACACGTGTCTTAGTCAGGGTGACTACTGCTGTGATAAAACACCATGACCAAAGCAACTTGGGGAGGAAAGGGTTTATTTCACTCACAATTCCAAATAACAATTCATCATCAAAAGCAGGAACTCAAGCAGGGAAGGAACTTGGAGGCAGAAGCTGATGCAGAGGCCATGGAGGGCTGCTGCTTACTGGTTTGCTCCCCATGGCTTGCCCAGCTTGCTTTCTTATAGAACCCAGGACCACCAGCCCAGGGATAGCGCCACCCACCATGGGCTTCCCCCCTCTCCCCATCAACCACTAATTAAGAAAATGCGCTACAGGCATGCTTACAGCCTGATCTTGTGGAGACATTTTCTAAATTGAGGCTCCTTCCTCTCAGATGACTCTAGCTTGTGTCAAGTTGACATAAAATTAGCCAGCACAGCAGGTAAGTTACATTCTCCCAGAAGCCATTGGACAGTCAAAATTTGTGAAAGGCCTGGCCCTCCGAGCCTGTGACCACTCTGGGGAGGGCCTTGCTTACACACACCACTGCTTTTCTTGTACATAAAAAGTCATCTTGTTCTCATTGCAGAAATTTCCAGAACTGAAATTCAAATATGTGGAAGAGGAGCAGCCTGAGGAGTTTTTCATCCCTTACGTCTGGTCTCTGGTCTACAACTCGGCAGTAGGCCTGTACTGGAACCCACAGGACATCCAGCTGTTTACCATGGACTCCGACTGAAGCGGGACACCCCCACCCCACCCCCAGCCAGCAGCTCTGCTCGTCACCTCATGTCTAGGAGTAGAAGCAGACAGACTGCCTGGTGTGTCTCCTGCCACCGTCACACAGCCTGCTTCCCTCTCATGCTGTGAGGACTGGGAGACGCCACCAGTGCGCAGGTCACTCAGCTTTGGTTGTACTGCAAGGGGGGTGCGCAGTAATAAAAACGGAAAACTTGCTGTTCAATCGGTGCCTTATTTCTAAACTTGTGAACCCCAAATCTAGAGCTTTCCTGGGATCCTGGTGCCTTAGGCACATAACAAGCACATCAACAGTGCATGCCATTTCTTTTTTTTTCTTTTTTTTTTTTTTTTAGATTTATTTATTTCTGTTTACTTATATTTTGTGTGTATGAGTTTTTGCCTACATTGGTTTTTTGTTTGTTTGGTCTTTTGTGAGGTTTTGTTTATTTGTTTTTTGAGACAGGGCTTCTCTGTGTAGTTTTGGTGCCTTTCCTGGAACTCACTCTGTAGACCAGACTGGCCTCGAACTCACAGAGATCCACCTGCCTCTGCCTCCCGGGTGCTGGGATTAAAGGCATGGGCCACTGCCATCCAGCTTGTCTACATGTTTATATGTGCACCACATGCATGCCTAATGCCTGCAGAGGTCAAAAGAGGGCGCCAGGCGGGAACTGGAGTTGCAGAAGGTTGTGAGCTGCCATGTGGGTGCTAGGAACTGACCCCAGGTCCTCTGCAAGGGGTGCCCTTAACCACTGAACCAACTCTCCAACCCTGCGAGGCTTGTTCTCATACTGTAGCTAAACTGAAACTCACTATGTAGCCCAGACTGCCCTAGAACTTACAGCAATCCTCCTGCCTCAGCCTCCTCTGAGTGCAGGGATTACAGGTTTGTGCCAACACATCCAGCCTACACATCTGTTTTCTCAAATATTGAAATGTGTGTTTTAGTCACTTGTGCGGCTTCTCTTATGTGTCTCTGTGTGTGCATGTATGCATGTGCATATATGTGTACACGCACATGTGTGTATGTGTGTGCATGTATATGCATGTAGGTGTTTGCATGCTGCTTAGCAGCCCAAAAGTTCATAAACACTGTACCTGCCAACATGACACTAACTTTCAAGGAGGGAAAATAGCTTTTTGGGGTGGGGGTTGGCCTCTAAGCCGTACCTGGAATTCAGTTGGAATCATGGAGGTTAGCCTCTGAGCCATACCCTGATGTTTATGGCTTTTTGGGTCTTTTGGGGGGTCTGCCACCCAGATCCAAAAAAAAAAAATAACACATGAAGCCTTATTATTACTTATGAATGCCCGGCCTTAGCTTGGCTTAGTTTCTAGCCAGCTTTCCTTAACTTATTCTGTCCACCTTTTGCCTCTGGGCTTTTCCTGTTCTCTTACTTCTGTGAATCTTACTCGTACTCCGTGGCTTGCTGTGTAGCTGGGTGGCTGGGCCCTGGAGTCCTCCTCCTTCTCTGGCTCCTCCCTCTCTCCTCTCAGATTTCTCCTTCTATACATTCTCTCTGCCCCCACTCAGCACAGCCCCCCCCCCAATCCTTGCTCCTGCCTCACTATTGGCCATTCAGCTCTTTTTGTTTGTTTGTTTGTTTGTTTTTTGTTTTTCGAGACAGGGTTTCTTTGTGTAGCTTTGCGCCTTTCCTGGAACTCACTTTGTAGACCAGGCTGGCCTCGAACTCACAGAAATTCCCCTGCCTCTGCCTCCCGAGTGCTGGGATTAAAGGCATGCGCCACCACCGCCCGGCCATTCAGCTCTTTATTAGACCATCAGGTGTTTTACACAGGCACAGTAACACAGCTTCACAGAGTTAAACAAATGCAACATAAGCAAAAGCGACAGACTTTAAATTAATATTCTACTACAGTACCCGGATTTCAGTTGGAGTCCTGCACAAATTAAGTTCATTTATTCTGCATTATTTGGGGCGGGGGGGGGGGGGCCGCTGTGCTGAGTGGAGCAGCAGATGGTCCATGGCAGTGCATTCCACATCAGTGTCAACCTTCGTTCACCCCGCTGGTCCATTAGAACCAGCCTCTTCCACCTGTCCCTATTGCCCTGGGCTAGGGGCAGAAATGCCATGGACCCCATGCATACAATGTGGGTGGTGTCCCCTGGGTGAGCAGACTGAGCCTTCTTTCCCCAGCTTTCAGGTAAGTGGGTGATTCACTTATCCCTTTCTCGAGTAGACAGAACTGGAGCTCTTCCCTGGCGTGGTGGGTCCCGGGGCAAGGGCGGGCTCTTCCCTGGGGTGGTGGGTCCCGGGGCAAGGGCGGGCTCTCCCCTGGGGTGGTGGGTCCCGGGGCAA